AACAGGCTCACCCCTCTCACTGAAATGGTGCTTTTTTCTTAGTTGTTGTTAATGTTTTTTTTCTGTAAAACACTTGGAGAAGCCACCTTTAAAGGCGCTATATCAAATAAAGTTTATTATTATAATATTTATCATATGTATGTGTGAGTGTGTGTGCACGCGCGCTCATGTTGGTCATTTCTGACCCCATCTTCTCATGGGGTTCCTATGAGAAGATGACTTGTAGGTGGTACTTGGATGCTTTGGTTGGATTAGGGGTGGTACTTGGTCCAAAAAGTTTGAGACCCACTGATTTACATGATTCTTTATTGCTTGTGACATGATATCGTGGTGTTCATTTATGCAAATTCAAGAGCCTTTGCAACTAATCATGCCCAGCGCAGCAGAAATATGCCAAATTGTTTATATGGGCGTGAACTCATGACATTAGAAGCTAAGGGATTTGGCATAGTGTATTTGCTATACAGAGCATGATTAGATACAAAGGTTCTTCAATTCGTGTGCAGGCTTCAGAATTGTTTTATTGTTAAAACCTGGTTGAGCATTGCTGCCTGTGTTCTGTGAAGAAGGCTCGTGTTTCCGGCCTTCAGCACTGCTTGACCGGTGTGTTGGCTGTGTCCTCCGCAGCAGAGAGGCGGCGCTCCCGGTCCACCTCGCGGGAGCGCGAGAGGCGGCGGCGGGAGAGGGAGCGCTCCAGGTCACGTGACCGGGAGAGGAGGCGGAGCCGCTCGCGGTCCCCACACAGGCGGCGTTCCAGGTGAGCTCCCGCTAGGTTTGGACACGTGGTTTTAATATATGGGACTCTTGGAGAGCTGGTCCTCCTGTGACTCCATAAAGAAGGCTGAGCCCTGGCAGGGGGCTTGAATTGGCCAGGACTGCCTCTTATTTACACACTCCAGTGACCCCCCCCTGGGGTCAGCTAGACTCTTGCGTACTTCCACTAATTTCAACAAGCAGATGTGCTGCGCCGCGCTGGTGCAGTGGTTAGCACTGGTGCCTCGCCGCAATGGGGTCCTGGGTTCAATTCCAGACCTGGGGTGCTATCTGCGTGGAGTATGCATGGTCTCCTCCTGCTCACATGCATTTCCTCTGGGTGCTTTGGTTTCCTCCCGCATTCTAAAGGCATAGTAGATTAATGAGCTTATGGGGAAAATTGGTTGTGAGTGTATGCATCTGTGTGTGCCCTGCGATGCACTGGCGTCCTGCCCAGAGTGTACCCTGCCTTGCGCCAGTTACTTGCCAGAATATGCTCTGGCTCCTCCCTGATCCCCAGTTGGAGTAAGTGGATATTTCCCTGATCTCCTGTAATTGTTGCTAAGTGTCCTGTGGAACACTGTGGAACTCATAAAAGCATTGCCGTCACTCAAGTGGGCTTGTCAGGGGAGCAGGCACATGTTTCAATTCTCTGTGCAGTTGTGCTGAGGTTGCAGCAACTTAATAGTTGCTGATTCCGAATTTGTGGTTATGAAATGCAAGATCATTGAGGAATCCAGATTGGAAAAAGAAGTCTAATGAGAATGTTATTCCCTAGATGCAAATACTAGACTGAGGTCACTACTGCTTCTTCTTACAAAAACTTAAGATTACATGCCAAATTTGACTCCTGGAGTTTTCTAGATCAGGTTTTAATAGCTCCAGATTCTCTAGGCCTCTGCATACCTGATCATAGCAACAAATGCTACTGCTCATCCTTGCCTTCCATAGTTTGCGAAACATTTCTCAACATTTCTCAAGCACGCAGCTTCCCCTGTGCACCTCTGAGATTTTCAGCACACTCCAGGTTTCTCCTGTCTGTCTTCACTCCAGATCCCCAAGACGCATCAGGTCTTCCTCTCTCTCTCCTACGAGACAGAAGGACGACAAGAAGGACATCAAAGATGTGAAAGAGCATCAGATTTCCGGTGAGAAAGAAAAGGCCATTGTGACAGGTTAACAGGTTAAGTGCAGCGGTGGTGTGGTGTTCACAGTGACGCTGAACATTTCTGCAACGTGAAAAACCCTTCGGCGCGTACTATAGGTTTGTGAGCGACAGATGGTGAATACCACTTCGTTTCCTAGAGTAGGTAGAGATAAGACCTAGCATCTGCAATAAATACAATTATTAATCGGCCATGCATATAAAATTGTCATAAAAATGAAAGAAAATACATGAGTTTAAGCTCCTGAATTGGAAATATAGCACTGCATCGGAATACAGGTCGAGCCCTACACAACAGTTGTACAAGTTTGAATCTGGGCAGAGCTTTTTGGAAGCGAGTGGCAAAGCCGTATATTCCCCATGGGCGTCGCAGGGTTTGGGTGGACTGGAGCAGGGTATCCGTGACTTGGATGAGTGCCTGAGTTATGTGGTGACGTCTAAGGCAGCACTCCTCCAGTCAGGGCTGAGTGCTCTGTGGAGAAGTGATGAGTTACACTCTGCACAATAAGTGGGTGATCCAGAGGAAAACATGGCAGGATCCTTTTTTTCCCTCTGATTTAGAGGGTGAGCCACCACAATACAACCATCATTTACAGATTGGAAGGGCAAAAAATTTAAATTCTTGAATTTCTGTGATTGAGGGAATAGATTGTGTTTTATGTGTAGTTCCGATGCTAACGTTACCATGTGTTTCAGAGGAGGACATGCAGGGGAAGACAGAGGAGGAAATTGAGATGATGAAGCTCATGGGCTTCAGCACCTTTGATTCCACCAAGGTAATAAAGCAAACTCAGACTTCAGTCCGGGCCAGACACACCTGCAGGGGTCTAATGTGTGAGATAGTTCTGCAACTATTGTTAACTGGGTCCCATTTAACCAAAAATGTAAAAAGTTCAAAATTTATTTTATTATTTTTATTATCCATAAATTAAAAAATAATAAAATTGCACCTGATTAGTATAGCCTTCACCTGAGAAGCAATCCCATATGTCACCACCAGGTGTCTCTCAAGTGCTGCGTTTCTAGTGTTTGCTTCATGGCAGGTCATGGATAAACTGGTTTTGACAGTGATGTTTGTGGTGCTTTCACAGGGAAAGAAGTGTGACGGTTCTGTCAATGCATATGCTGTTAATGTCTCCCAGAAGAGAAAATACAGGTTAGTCTCTCCTTGATATGTGCATTGTCTCTTACATCTTACTCTATGTTTCAGGTGTTCTCTAAAAGCAATAAGGAACTATATACAGACTTTGCCAATGCAATCTCCACAATTCCCAGTATCCATCATATATGCTACAATGAGATATATTTTAGCAATAGGGGGACTTAAGGAACATTCTTGAAACCTCAAGGTTCACACTTGAGTTATTGCAGTAGTGCTTGTGTGTTTGTTCTTTAACTTGATTTTTAATGTGAAATAGAATACCTTTCTAGACTGACGTGCCGTGCTGAAATTTCAGTAATGCACAGCGGATTTTTATTTCTTCAGGGCTCTATTTTCAAATGAGGTGAAGCACCACAGCTTTGTCTTTCCAGGTGCAGGGTCTGGTTGCAAGAGAGTCATAGCTGTGTCTTATTTCCATCCGGAGTGGAAAGGGTAACGCTGACCCACCTGACACTGTTCAGTCTGCTCTATGATTGTAGCATACAAATTTGCATTTTTCTCTCTTTGTTCTGAGGGTTCACAGCTGCTCACTTACCATTGGTGTTGGACTAAAACATGCCAACAAATAACATCTAGAACATAATTGTCAGGCAACAGTAAACCTGTTTGGCCCAAAAATGATTTGGACATCAAAGTAAAAACATTTGTTACAAAATGCATAAACACCTGTAATATATAGCTCTTTTCCATTTCCTAATGGTAATTAACATCATGGTTATTGCTAGAAACGTGGATTGAAACAGTGGTGGGAGTTGTTGCTGTTTAATCTGCAGGTTTAAGTAACACAATTATTGATTACATTATAACTATAGGTAATACTGCTATGTGAAACAGAGTTAACCACTGCAGGAGTTACTGAGACCTGCAACAGAACTTGGAATTATGAGTTCATAATTCAGAATGCAATAATAAAGGAGAGGAGACAGAAAGTGGAGGATGCACCCAATAAAGGACCAGGGTAACATTTCTACACCAGTCAGAGATGCTGGGAAACCGTTCTGCTAAATGAGCTTCCTGTTGTGAGCTGGAAGGTGGAAGATTTACTGAATCCTGCTGCTGGGTTTGTGCCATTCCACACTTCCCTTCTCACAGTCTTTCACTTCACAAAACTTGTTTTTTGTCATTTTCTAATGAATACGAGTGATTGTGTAACAGATCTTCATTTTGTAGTGCATGTTTAAAATAGGTTTGTTTTCTATTTGTTCTTCGGTTTGTAATTGTACCATTCTGTTCTTTGGAATCTGGGTTAATACTTTTTAGGACAGCCTCCTGGTACTGTTTCGAACTTGCTGAAACACCAGTGGGTGGGCCTGCTCTTGCACGTTGTCTTCATCCCTAATGCAGCACTGCAGTGTTGTGAATATTCACCACTGAATGGCAAAATGCAATTTCAGAACTGCTCGCAAGTCATTCGCAGGACACAATGCCTTGCTTCCGTGTTTAAAATCCAACCAGGGCAGAATGAAAATGAGTCCCTAACATTTTAGCCTCATCCGGTCTTCCTCGGCCCCTCTGGATTTCCTACCCAGGGTGCGGCAAGGCCTGGTTTGTTTTTTCCAGGGCTTTGCTGTGGATGTGCCATGTGTGTGAACAGGTTGATAGAGGGAGGCAGTGTGAGGTGAAGGGGGATTGAGAGAGAGGCAGCTTGATCAGCAACCAATCGCACAGCTCTGGAATGTCCTCTTATCAGCAGGTGTTCCATTGCAGGGAGAGCAGGAATACCATTGGTGGAAAATGATGTAATGTGCTAGAGGAGGGGGGAGTGATGTAATCTTTTTTTTTTTTAGGCAATACATGAACCGAAAAGGTGGATTTAACAGACCCCTGGATTTCATTGCTTGAAGAAGAGAAGAGGAGGACTGAATATAACAAGGTCACGGACATTGTTTCCTGCTTTGAAGCCATTGTTCAGCTAGCCAGTTCTGTATTTCAATATTTCTGTGAAACGCATAGAAATATAAATGCGTGATTAATTTATGGAAAATTCAGTTTGTGTTAAAGTGGAATGTGATGGCCTGGGTGCTGGCAAGGGTGCTAGCTAATGTAAGTAATATGAAACATGATATTGACATAGTGTACTAAAGAGGTTGACAGAAATAGAAAAATAAGTCTTCCTCTGCAGAGGTTGACTATGGTAAGTTTGCAGAAGCCATCCCCATTCTTCCAGCACCGACATAATCCGGAAGTATCGAAGGGCCAAAAGAAGAAGAGGTCAAAGTACACAGTCCCAGAGCTGCTGCTGAACATGACAACCTGACACAAACGTCCCTTTAAAGAGAGCTTGCTGAGTTGCACGGTCCTATGACACTTTGTGTATTTTGGTCAGTGTTTAGTGCTGAAATGTAATGCCACACTTGAGAAAATGGTGCCGTTTCTTTGACGTGAGCTGAATAGTTACAGATTTGTAGGCGACTGCAGGCGTGTTTTGATGTAGCTCAGTAATTGTCCATCATTGTTTTCTGTTCCTTCAGTGCTGGTGAAACATGGGTGATGGGGTCTCGGGTGCCGAGCCAGGGCACTACCTGTAACTGCAGCTTCTTGCAAAGCTGGGCTGAAAAATGATGGCTTACTGAGCTCTTACATTGAACACTTTCCCATGCTTTGAACTTGCACTGAAAACCCTTCCCGAGTGGTGTCCTGTGTGGAGCATGTGTTGCATGGAGGATAGAAGATAATTGCTCCATTTCAGAAATGGGGAATTGAGTTGTGCACCTTTTTAGTTTCGTGCACATAACCCATTTTTTAGTCAGTGGGAACCTCTTGTTTGATATTTTGTGAATGTCACATTATTGGGGCAGTACATTACACATTGTACAAGCCTGGCTTTAGTCTTAGCAGTGAGGGCTGAGCTGAAGTTTTCCGAATCTCTTTGCCCCTAAGGAGTGATGTGGGTGTCCGCAGGTCCCTTCCAGTGTACTTCTGCTTGTGAAACACTGCCTCACCATTGTCCTGCAGCAGCTCTGATCTGTTCTCAGTGTGGTTTTCACTCCAGGACCATTCCCAGGGGATCCTGATCGCACCTCACATTTCTTTTAAATAGGCGTTTACTGTTATTATATTGCTTTTAACATCATGTATGCCAGTACAAACCCTGTCTCCATGTACAGTATGTTGACTTCATGATATCCAGTCTTTGTATTTAAATAAAAAAATGAAAATGCCCAGCCCTGCTTTTTATTTTGTTGTGCTCTAAACGTTTTTGAGATGACATTGGACATTGTGTACTACTAAAGACATCTGAAAACAAAATGATCAACCTTATAATGTCTGTTAAACTGATGCCTATTTAAAGTTGGCCTTCATTTTACAGGTTTTATCCCTAGCATTGAGTCCGCCATCTGTCCGTTTTCTAACTGCTTCATCAAATACAGGGTTGCGGGGTGCAGGGTACACCCCGGACGGTATGGACTCTAGGGTACAGAAAAATACATGGAAAGGCTGGGGTGTGAACATGAATCTGGCTTCTTGGTAAAGAACAGAGGGCCAATTTACCATCACTGATCACCTTTTCATTTTTATGATGTGCACTACCTTGATTATAGTATTTTAATTGTCCGTGAAAAACCGTACTGAGTTAAGCAACTAAGGACGGTCTTGACGCGCGTTTACAGACGCCTACACAAACGCACCTCGGGTTTTGCACAACCTGAGGTGGGAACAGAACACGGTTTCCGCCGGATTTCATACCCAGTGTGAAGCACGGTACTCCGGAGAACACCTGCTGTCTGCGGGGCTCAAGACAGGCCAGGAAAGGATTTGCTGTTGTAAGACGCAGATGGAGAATGTTAAAACATCCGTTGCGATAAAACGTCGTTTATCATGACATCCTTTTTAAATGTTATCGTCGTTTTTGCTTTCCTCGCTTAGTGATCAGAACATATTCAACCGTTTCGTAGGCTGCAGGTGTTATGTAATGACTTTTTTTTCATTAATATAGAGGAGGAGGAGTATTAAACTGGCTCTTCCTCCTGTATTACTAATCGTGAGAGGTTATTAATATAATGATTTGGGGGTATAATTTTTAAAATTTAATTTATAATTCCTCATAGACGGTCACAGGGATCAGTGCATCTGAACTAACTGCTGCATGATTATAATATACGTGTCCCTACTTTTCGGTATTAAACAAATTAATCATAAGAAAGACCGATGATACTTGCGATGCTGAATTTCTAACTGGTATGAGATTGTCACTATTGGAGATTTTTTATTTTATTCCTGAAAAGGTACAAAATGACCTCACTTCCGTATTACATCACCCTTAACTGGCTATGAGAAGCATGATTGGCTGTTACGGTGACTGAACGCGTGGAATCTCCCCGTTTCCACCAATAGCGTGTCGATGGGTGGATATCAATAAACAGGGACCAATCAAAACCTTGTAATCGCTAATGCGCATGGTAAAATAAGCACGTGAAAGGGGTGTGTAATTTTGATGGGAATTGCTGCGTTCCAAATAAGAAAGAGCAAGGTACGGACCAATCACACTAGATTTGTGAATGACAGGCAGGATAAACGGGCCAATAGGAGAACAACATAAAGACACTGAGCTCTGCAATCTAGAAACTGCAGACATTTTGGCTCTGATTTAGACCCTGTTTGTCCTTTGAGGAAAGGATACATCCGAGCCAAAATGGTGACATAAAGCTACCAGTTGCACAGCTCCAAGTTCAACGTTTCTTTGACAGCTTGTCAACAGCATAGGTTTTTGTACCTCAGTAAAACTGACATTCCGAGCGTCCAATTCAGAATCACCAGACTATAATCTTTTCCAATCGGAGTTGGCTTTTTAGGGCAGGACCTAGAAGGGGAGTCTGTTCGGTTGACGTTGGTAGTCGAGATTCTTTTTGGATTTTTTTTTTTAAATAAACAAGCCGGTTTCTCGTCGCTGTCAGTCGGTGCAGCTCGAGCTGAGCGGTGAACGTCGATCAACAAAGAATATTTTAATTCAAAATCGGACCGATTATCATTTTTTAAAATATTCGTTTGGGATTTATTTTTTAAATCGCGAAAACGCTTTTATATTAAACGATCTAGATACTGCTATATTAATACAAATTGTTGTTGTTACTGTATAAAAACCTATTTTTCTAAAAAAACAACTTGCGATGTGAACAGTTTTTTTTCTTTTTTTAGCCTATTTATTAACAAATGAAGGAAACTTAACAGGAATTAAGATATTTTTTTAAAAGAAAACGCGAAGGATTGTATGGTATAATTCTGCTTCATTCTCAAGCCTTCATCTTCGAAGTATTACTACATTAATATACCGTGTCTGTTATTTATTTTTGACAAAATCCTTCCGTTTGACCCCGTTTTGAAGTGGAAAAAAAACGGCTTCCATCTTCGATCTTTTGTTGGGGTTACCTAGAAGAAGAAAATACTAGACCTCTTTGAAGGAAGAAAACAAGGAGAAATCTCGAAGTGTATAACGGCGCTGCTCGTGTATTTTAGCGTTTCTTACAAGGATTGTACGTTTTTACTGCTGTTATTGTTGAAAATGGCGGCTGTCGGAATGGTGCAGATGTTGATTGAAGCGGCTGAGTACCTTGAGCGCAGGGAGAGAGGTAAACACATCGTTTTTATTTGCTTTTTTTAAACTGTAAACATCGCCTCTCCTGCGAGCCTTATCTTCGCCAAATGACCATTACAGAAGGTAAAACCACGCAAACAAATTCACGTTGACGTTGATTTTTGTCCCACACGAACACTAGAAGTTGCTGTTGTGTGCTGGTGTTTTGTTAGCATTAAAGAACAGAAATAGATTGTGTAAAGGAGTCGGAAAACAAACAGGAATAACAAATGCCGTGATGGTAAAATGTATTTACATTTCTTTTAATAACTCTTCTCATGCAAACCCACCCCCCCACAGTTGCTAGCAATTTTTTTTCACGTCCACGTTTGTCAAAACGATATGCATGAAAATGGAACAAATCCCGTTTTTGGTCCTGTTGGGACGTTACAATCACGCCAGCCCGGGGCTTGTTTTCAGCGCATCCCTTTACAAGGGTTTGTTTCTCTCGGTCATGTGTTGTGGTTTCAGCATCGGGTTTACTCGAGTTCAGATGACATCAGCCTGAATTGTGTGCTAGAGCTACAGCGAGCTGCCTGGCGGAACCGCCAAGTGTAGCCTCTACACAGCCCGGCGTTACATTAGCACCTCATTAAAAAAAATAAATGTTGTTGCGAGGGAGATCGTATCTTCACCTCGCACTGAAGAGCTATCAGTGGTCTCTGGGTGAAAGATCTAATCTTCCACTTGGGAGACTGTCGATTGTTTTTAATTGTACGTTACGACGTGACTGTAATGACAGCTTTTTGCATTTACTCGGCTGATTTGTTTTTTTTTCCCCCTGTATGTTTTCCAGAAGCAGAGCACGGTTACGCCTCCATGTTGCCCTACAGTAACAGCAAAGAAAGAGACAGCTTGAAAAGAAAGAATAAAACCAAGAAAAATTCCAGCAGCAGGTATATTCATATCCGCTGTGTGTTTAAATTGAGTTAACTTGTTGGCATTGTCTGCAGTATGTTCTAGGAACAAAAGTGTCTGTGTGTTGGGTCAAGTTGAAAATGAATAGTCACACCTGTATATCTCACATCTTCCCCCCTAATGGATAAAAAAATGGGATTTAAACACGACAGGGAGCAGGTGATTTAATCGATCTGCGTTTTCACCGTCTCCATTAGAGACCAGCTAGTGAGAGAGTGTGACCGTCCAGTCCCCACCTAAACTACAGCTTCTACGTGTGAGACGAGCTGGTATAGGCGGACAGCCGAGATACTCTGCACCTTACACGTATTTACCGTGTGCTGGTTATATTTGTGTTGCGAGTGGGGGAAAATACGAATGTACTGTAGGAGGGGGGCAGGGGAATCAAATCATCGCTCTGATTTGGTAACGGGACATTTTTCGGCTAAATATGTAATTGTTCCCAGCTGTACGTGATAACGCTATCAGCTGTGAGCGGCCACTTCTGCTCGGGTTTGACAGTTCTGTGGGGGGCGCCATCTTTGGAGCCGTGACGCGCCGACTGTGGCGGCTCGTTCCCCCTCATCAATCTCGCAGGCTCGCGACCCGCTCAGCCCGCGCTAACGTTTCCAACGCGACCAGGGTCTACATTACACTGGAGCTCAAACTCCGCGTGGTTTTCAGGTTCATGTAGTCGGAATTAAAATCGGCGTATTTAGAGAGGAGGGGGACGTTTTCGCTGTTATGAAGCATCAATTACCGTGAAATTCCAGGGAGGGATGCGTTTATTAGATTTCATAGCACGTTATTATGGGATTTTAATCGCAAGTGGACCTTCTACCGTTTGTCTCCCGTGTCTCCATCCTCATTAAAAATCTACTTTCGTTTAACTGTATTATCGCTATAAAATGTTGCCAATTAATGGCAATACTTTTGTTATGCGTTTCCTTGAGAGTATGGAAACCCTTTATTTTTTTCATGAGTTGGTAATGACAATCCTTTACCTTCAAATTACTGTGGATGCAGTGCAAACCTCCTTACTGTAAGTCCAATGTGTTCAATCCTGCTCCTGCAGGGCTGGTGTGTTTGTGGGTTTTTTTTTTCCAGGACTGTTCTTAGCAAGCTAACACGGCTGGTTACTGGCTTAACTGGACCATTTTAACAACCCCAAAAAACAGCAGTCACACCAGCCCACTGGAACCAGGACTGAGGTCCCCTGATTTCCATAGTGTTCTAATTGGTCACGACCCACAAATCTCAATTCACACCCCCCATCCTCTCCCTTGTCTGATGCTGCCAGCAGTGTTCCATAGCACCTGGACATAATAGGAAGACCTGCACAAGAGCACAAGTTTTCACCACACAAAGTTTAATTTCCCTGTAGGGAAGTTACTGATCGTGTGCAAACCTGTGAACATTCTTCGACATCTGCTGCTGACTAACATGTGACCGCCGGTGATGGGCTTTCACGTTTTAAACTTTGTGGTATAAGAGAACAACTGTTGGTCCTCTTTTTTTATGCATACATTTCTGGTTTCTGGAACAACCCTGATCTCGGAGCTTTCATATGGACGTTTGTCACACAGTCTGACTCAGGCTTGAGGTCTGCAGCTGTGAATCTGTGGCGTCTGTGGTCAAACGGCATAGGTTTGACTGGTGCAATCTTCTTTACAATGCTGTTGGAATCCGTTTATTCACTTGGTAATCTTTATTATTATTAAAAGGCATTATCGGTGCAAAGGATGGGCAGAGGATTCATACGAAGGGTTGAAAATCAAATTGCCTTTAACGAGCGGTGTGTTTCATTCACACGCCTCACCTTGCGTGACTGCCCATTGTGTCGTTTAGGGTGGAGCACCAGTGAGGAATTAGTTGGTTAGCTTTGCCTCATCATAAAATGCTGCTTCTACCTAGACAGTTCAGCGTGCAAGGACAAAAATCTGATAAGAGCAATCCTGTCATAGCTGATGTGGAAAGGCAGGATATTGGCTCCATATGATCCTATAAAGACCCCCCCCCAACACAAGGAACTGCTACAATTTTTGACTGTTTCCCTCACTTTCGGCATTGGAAAGTCTTCACAATTGTCAGCCTGTTAGCACGCAAACAAAGAGGCACTCCCGAAGATCAAGAGTGATTGAATTTGAAACAACAGGAGACAAAATGATTAAATAGACTAGAGCTGTAAAGGAGGTAGGGACAAAGAAAAATCCTTCAAAAGTATAATGTTCTGTAATGTAATACGATGCAAATGATCCATCTGATACTCCTGGTTATTCCTCTGAATAGCATTGCAGGCTTGCTGGTTTGGTAATGCACAACCCTATGCCCGAATCATTCAATAAAATGCCATTTTAAACATTACATTTGTACACCACTGCTGCTAAAATTGATTTTTCTCTTACCAAAGCAACCAGTTGGAGAGTTTCAGAGAAGTGGCCCGGGTTAAATAGGATTACTGGAGAAATGGCTCAAGTCAAGGTGTTTGTGGAGAAACATCCCTGGGCAGTGTATTTGACCAAATCTGTTTGCATTTACCCAGAAATTGAAGACCCATAACTTAAGACACTGCACGCTTGTGTTGTAGGATTGCTGCTAAGCATGTAACTGTAGATAACAGGATATTTAAGCTAAATAGGGGTAAGTTATGGGTCACCTCTATTTATATCTAATCTTCTTGGTAAGAGGGAGCCTCAGTTATTCAAATAGTGGGTTTGGCCTATTTACTCTTCTGTACCCTATGACACTGCTATCTCGTCATTCTTTTGTGTGACTGTACATTCAAGCTGTTAAACGCAAGCATGAATAATACATTTCTCATTTAATTTCGAATATATTGAATATTAAAGTAGCAATTACCAATTTAAAAACGTGTCTTTCATTTTGCTCTTTGATGTTGGTGGTCTCATTCTCCATTATCTTTGTGACCAGAGAGTTGTAATAGTGGGGGGATTTCTGAAAACGCACTTTCGGAATAAAACAGGATTGAAGTGTTACTTTCTCAGGCTGACGTAGCTGTGAATAGCAACCTGATTTTTAGAGACTAGGTCTCTAACAGGAAACGGAAATTGATTGAGCAGAGCTTCAATGAACTGGTGTCCCCTGTAGGGTGTAGTCCATCTTTGTACCCTGTTTGGGCAGGGCAAGCTTTTGGTTGCTGTGTCCCTTGCCAGGAATAATTGTCTCTCTTCCGCAAAAGTTCAACTGCTTCCGACAGTACTTAATGGCTCTGCTCTTTGCTGTGATGGTGTTGTTCACACCACAAGCTTCTCAGTTTGAAATGATGACCCATTTTCTTGCGTGTAACTTCTGGTTACACGCAGGTCACTGTCACCTTTATCTCAGGAGGGAGTACTAGTTCATGGGTTTGTTTTGTCTATAGCTGCCTCAGCCCTGGAAAGACGCCTCTTGAGTGATTACCCTACATGCCTTATCTTGCAGGCACAACAGTATTGCTTCACCTCTGTGACCAGCTGAAGCTAGTAACATTTTTATTCCAGGCTTCCAGCTGCCTAGGACAAATCGGGAAGAAAGTCAAATGTTGCT